TTTTCTGTTGCTTCGCCAAATTCCCCTTCAACAACAATATTTGAACCTTGTACATACTTCGCTGGTCGAACTGGATCATAATTTTGGTATTCAAACTTGTATTCAGTCCCACTCTCCAAGTCTTCTTTACCTTGAAGATATATCTGTTGTTGTTTCGCCTGAAAAAAAATAAAATTAGGTTTTAATAAAAACTTTTGTGTATTTGTATTTATGTAATACTGAGATTATGTACTTGTCTTTATTTTGTCTTGTAAAGCTGTAATGTACTGTAACCAAAAGAAAACTACTGGTCAGTTGGGTGACTATTAATGCGAAGCGTAATTGGATAATTTGTTTGAACACCAATTTGTAATTGGTTGATGTCCATACTCATTTCTACATCACAAAAAAAGTAATAATATTAATAATAAGTGAGTACCTTTTAAATGTAACTGTGATTAAGTCATTTATATTCTTTCCAAATGCAGGCTGGATGAGCCAAGGATAGGAAATGAAACAAAAGGGTGTCTGATCACCCCACATTCGATATACATGGAAACTCATGGTTGTAACAATAGTCTTGGATGTTGAGGATTCTAAAATACCGCAGCTATCAGCATGGTCCACTGGTCCTATATTCAATCCAAGATCACTTTGATATGCTTCATGTAGAGAATATGTTGGTACTATGGGTGAAATGACAATTTATCCTGGATTTTGGAGTACTTCGATTCTCCAATTCTTATTGTTCTTAACTGATAATGCTTGTGTTTTCATTTATTTTGTATCTTTAATGCATATGTATCTTTACTTGTCTATATCACTTTATCATTTTTATTTTCTCAAAAGGGAAGTGTGTATTTGGAATACAAAACCCAGGGTGAGCTGCCAGTTCTCACTTTCCCGAAATTGGATGGATGATCTACTAGTCCAATACCTGCTGGATTTGATTTTTTTGTGTGTGTGTGAGAGGAAGGGGTGAGTCATACACATTTTTTTTTCTTGGGGGGGGGGGGGGGCGCCATACCCTAAAGAAATTGCATTTTCCTTATCTTTTTGTTTCATCTTGTAGATTTTTTTTTTAACGACCATTTCTATTTTTTTTTTTTTTTTTTTTTTATCACCGAATAATTACATATAAGATCATTCAGGCCTGACATCCTCTTTAAACAAATGTCCAAATTAAATCTTTAGAATTATTAAAATTTTACTTCACATTCAAATATAACATTCTAAATTGTCTTTTGTACTTCTAACTCACACACACACACACACACACACACACACACACACACACACACACACACACACACACACACACACACACACACATGCATGTATGTATACACATACACATAAATTAATAAATAGATAAATATATGCACACACACACAAAAAACACAAATAATAATAAAAAATTAAATAAAGATTAAAATATTAATGATTTTTTTAGGTTTTCAAATAACGAAGATTAATATAATCATTTTTTTTATGTTCATTTAACATGTTAATGGGAAAAATGGAGAAAATAAACGTGTTTTCGGATGTAGTAAATGACTGTTCGAAATAGTTTTATTAAAAATGCTTATTGATACAAAACTAATTTTAAGAAAAAGGGCAATAGAGATATGGTAGCACTGTAAAGGTTAAAAAGGATTTATTTATTGTGTTTTTTAAAGTTTAGTGTCATCGAAAAAGCGAAGAAACTTTTTCTTTTCTTTTAGACTTTTGATAGAAAATTGAAAGGGTAGTTAAATTCACGATCTATGAAAAAAAAGAAAATGAAAATATATTTTTTTCCTTGCGTACATTGTTTTGTTAAATATATACTGGGTAAGCTGATAACTTTACATATATGGGTTGCAAATAGATTTTCAGATACATGTATTTATTTATTTATTTTTTTGACAGCCAATTTGTCTATATCAGGAATGATAAGAAAATAATTCATGACACTTTTTCAGTCTATGGATCAGTGATACCCAATTTTTTTTCTTCTATGGCCCCGACCAATATATAATACTCTCTACGAACACGCTCAGTGACTGTCATCTTTTCAGCTTTAGTTATTACTAGTTATGAATAGTGTAATGATAATCATAGGAGAAGACCGCTTTAAGGAAAGATGACAATTTATTGATATGTGAGATATAATTATATACAGGTACTGTAGGTGAGACGAAATTCAGTTTAATTCGAAGTAATCATTTTCATATTGCATCATGGTCCACCAGAAAGTACCCTGTGCTCCCCCCCCCCCCCCCCCCCATTCTGTCCAAACCTGAGCCATGGACCCGAGGTTGGGAACCCGTGTCATGGATTCTCAGTGATCTGTATCGACATGATCTTGAATATACGGATGACAGGTTCCCGTGAGATCGGTCCAGTAAGCAAAAGGCACGTGAAAGACGTAGAGTATGAACAAAATCCTCGAGAATGTTGTCTTAGAGAATTTTGTATTGCTCATGCTCCTTCGCATTTTCCCTTGCATATTGGTTGTTAATTTCAGCTTGCTTTTTGT